AACAAGTGTGGGGGATTCCCCCCCCCCCCGCCAATTCCGATGGTATCTTTTGGGAGAGTTTTGTTTCGTAACCCCGTTTTGGGGGCTAAGCGGCAGCTGTTTGTGGTGGCAAATGTGTATTGCGGTCAAATTAAAATTCACAGAGATCATCCCGAAAGCAAAATCCCCGGCTTTCAACAAGGATTGAGAAGCAGGTTCAGAGGAGAGGAGATGTGGGTTCAAATTGTTCCAGTTCTGCAGGAGATCAAATGCTGGTTCCCCCCCCCCCGCCCCCCATAGAGGAAAGCCAGCATGGTCTGAATTGATGAGCATGAACGTTTTGTTGTTTAGGCTGCTCGTAGTTCCTGATTCGGATAACTATTGTTTCGTTTTATAATGTAAATGTGTACGGCTGCCCCATTCACAGCAACCTTATCCAGGAATAATGCTGGCCAAATACATCTTCAAGCCTCATGCGTCATTCACATTGGCACAAGAAATGCCTGGGTGGATTCCCACGCATTTGGGGGGCCCCATCCCGATCCCTCTGGGAAGCTCACGGACGTTCGGATTTCTCTGCTCAGGAAGGCCCTGGCCCTCCTTCACACGTGCCTTCCTTTGCTTTACCTGTTTTGGCGCAACAGCTTCCCACCTACCACTTAGGAAAGAAATTGAGGATAACCCCCTCCCAATGCAAACACTGTCAATGTTGTGTTGGCGTCCTGTAACGTCAGAGTGCCTAAGGGGAATAGAAGTAGGTGTGGATGGCAAAGCGGGTTAGGATACCAAAAGGACAGGCCAGGCGTGGGAAGGGGAGGGAGGCACCACCAGGTACCGGATCAACGCATTGGGTACGTTTGTGCAGCCTTAAAATTCATGGCGTGGTTCCCCTCCCTGCGATTAGCCAAGTTGGCTTAGGGGAGGCCCAGCGCACCAGCCTCTCTGCTGCCCGGGGCCCTTGGCCCTCCAGGACTCAAACGGAAGCATTGGCGCTTGGGCCTCGGAGCTGGCATCCAGCCTCGCGGGTCCTGACACGACGGCCCTGCCTGGGTTCCCCCATAGAAGGGGCCCGGTTGGGCCAAGGCGGCTGGGCGAGCAGCGGGGCGAAACACGCCCTCTCGCTCCTTCCTGGGGGAGCTTGGGCAGAGCTCTAGCTCGAGAACGTTTCCTGGTTCTGGTTTAGGTTGGCATCGGGGGTTAGTGGGCATAGGCGGATGGAGGGGCAGACAGAGGGATTTTAACCGTGCCGCCAGGCCCATTAACACCGGGTTGGGGATCAAAGCCTCTCGTTAATTCCCCCCCCCCCCCCTAATCCCCTCCCAGAAGAGCAATTCCCTCTCCAGGGCTGGGAGGGGAAGGTGCCCCCTTCCTTTTTGATATTCCTTTGCGGTCTTCCCCTGCCCGTCCTGTCCAGCCCCGGTTTTTATTTGATAGACGACAACGTTTCCATGGCAACAGGTTACTTTTCAAAGGGGGAACATCTTGTCATTATATTTAATCCACTGCGGCTGAAGAAGGGCTGAAATATTAAGTTGTGGTTGCCATGGCGACCACTTTGTTACATCGGTTTCCTTTGGTGTCGGATTTCGCACCCTGCGCCCATTCTTCCGCTGACCCCCCCCCTCTTATTTTCCTCCCTGCACCCTTTCCAACCCCCATGCTTCTCCCCACGGAATAAATAAACCCCACGCCCTTCCCTGCGATGGACAAAAATCCTCTTTGACTTTTTTTTTTTTTTTTTAAACGCCTCTTTGGATTTAGTTTTCTCCTAAAATGGCAAAATAGGTGGTCCGGAGATATTTGGGTATTCTGGGATGGGGAAGCCATTAGAAATCGTGTCGTTTTTGCGGTGGGGGGGTGTTCCAGCATTTCTCTCCCCTTCCATTGGTTTTCCTCCTAAACGGCGCCTTCTCTTAAGCTCAGAGAAAAACAGGAAAAGGGAAGGATTGGAAAGGAGCACGGGAGCTCCTGGGAAGGAGCACCACTGGCATTTCGTTCGGCCTGCATTTCTCAGCAGACCATCCTGGCGTGGGTTTCCCCATTTAATATATTCGTCGGACCCCCCTTAGCCCCGGCGTCTTCCTCTTCCAATTCGGTCGCCCCGTCTCGGCTCGACAGTCAGCTGCGAAGGGCATTTGGAGATCTGCGCATTAGGATAGCGTGCCCGTGTCCCACCTGGCACACAGTAAGGCGCCCGTATCTGTGCTTTCTTAAAAGGGTCAGCGGGCACAGGAAGGCGGGGGAGCCAGCTGTGAAACAGCCCCTTTGAAACTGACCCGGGTGGGAAAGTGGCAGACGCTTTTGCTGCTCTGAGGCCATCTTCCTCTTCGTCGAGCGCTCGTGGGGTTAGGGAGCGTGGGCGTCCCCAGAGCTGAGAGCTGATGTGGCTCGGCTTGACCTGTTTAGGGGATTAACCCGTTGCCCAAGACTGGCCAAACAGGCGGTGGATGGAGCAGGGCAAAAGGATGCTGAGGGGTCCAGTGCAACGATGGCCCCTGCTTTTCTCTTCCGCCTTTCGTGCCCGGGAAACACCCGCATGCCGGATGAGCAAGGCATCCGGCCCCTGTCCGTGTTGGTCCTTGGCAGCTGCCAGTCGCCGGCACGCTGCACTTTACTCTGGAGGCTCCGCAGAGGCTGAATGACTTGCATCTCTGGCCTGCTTTTGAAGTCATCTTAGAAAGCTTTGAACTTCTGAGATGAAAGAGAGACTCAGCAAGATGTAGGCTCTTGGGCTGCCGAGCCTCGCCATTTCGTTGGGAAATCCCACCGGGCTCTGGGCTAACCCGGTGAGGAGAACCTCGTCTCTCTCCCCGCTTTCTTCACACAGGCAGATACTCCATCCTCTTCCTGTTCCCTTCCCTTGCTATTTTTCCTCCTGAACCAAAAAGCTTCACTTCCCACCATCACTCCTCCTCCTCCTCCTCCCCATACAGAAAGCTTTCCTACCGTTGCTGCCTCCAGATGTGTGGGGGTTACAGCTCTGAGCCCTCCCAACCCGCATCAGCCCAACAATTTGGCACCAGGAGGGTCTGATGGCACAGGAATGAATGCATTCCCCAAAGTGCCATTGCGATGGCTCCTCTCTTTCCCAAACCCTTGAGAAGCAAGCATGGCACCAAAACTGGGAGTGTGGTTAATAGCAGGCCTGCTCTTTCCCAGGTCCATGCACACGGGCCTCCCAACCCAACCACGTATTCCAGTTCCTCCCAGCCTGTTTCCTTTGCAAACCCAATGTCTTATTTCTGTGCTGGAGCATATCCTGTTTTCCTTTTGTTTCTAGCCCAGAATATATGAGATGGGTGGTCACATCGATACAATATGAACGTCCATGCCCAATTGCCCTGGTTTCTGTGCTGCATTTAGCTGGGTTGGGGCACTCCTTGGGCCTGAGTTTGCCAAGCCGACAGAAAAGCTTAGCCCCTTTTTCAGTTCTGACGAAGATCACACGGAGGGCTTTCTGTTGTTGTCGTTGGAGGCTTTTCTGGGCAGGGAGCCATTGTACAGAAAGGTGTTGGAAGCAGCGAATGGCTCAAGCAGCTTGTTTTCCTCGCTATCAACCAGCTGTGGAAGGAGAGAGCTGGAGCTGAAGAAAAGATTACACCGAGCTGCCTGTCTTTGGCGGCTCCAGGAACATCGGCTTCTATTCTTGCATTTTTTCCCCTTTACATAATAACCCAGCTTCCTCCTCCTTGCCTCGCCGCAAACTCCATAGAGAGAGAAAAGGAACATAATGCTGGAGCACGTTCAGCTGTGAACGTTGCCATTTTGAAATCAATCCGGCGCAGCAAGAGCCCCCGGGTACATCACAACGCGCTCACAACCTTGAAGGAAAACGGAGCTTTGAATGAAACGCTGATCTGCGGCACGTACGATCGGGCTGCCGAATCGATTGGCCGGCCTTCCTCCACATCTCTGAGCGCTTCCTAGTTGACCAGTAGCTGGAGATGAGGAAGGGCACACGGGTGACAGGTGGGCGGGTGGGGTCACCCAGCAGCCCTTCAACCAGTCTAAGCAGGAAGCCTGTTCATTTTTACTCCCAGGGCTGGGAGTCTTTCTGAAGTGTCCAAAGTCAGGTGGAGAACAGAGACGCTTAAGACAACCATCATTCTGCAAGCCTGCCTCTGTAGTCTTTCTAGAGGGCCAGGGAGTGTTAGATGAACATGGTCCTCTTACTCCAGAGCAGTCTTTGAAGGGAGGACCCTGTATCAGTAGGTCAGATGACTGGACTAAGTAGTTGACCAGGCGAGCTTCACACCCACAAGAAGCAAAGAGCAGGGCGCCAGCCAGGCAGTGGGGTGCCGCCCAATTCCTGAATGCCACTTTTGAATCTGAGGGGACCTGGCGCCCAGGAGACTAATCACAGTGGGCTTAGTGCTCGCTGCAAAGGAGCAAGGCAGATTCCTTGAAAAACTTGCCTTGAAGCGTTGGGACCGTCTGCGTGCAGCTGAGGCAGAAAACAGAGGAGGTATGCCCTGAGGCTTCCTCGCTTTGTAGTTTATGTCTCAGGTTTGGAAGGTGGGGCTTTCAAGTCTGAATAAGGACCCCGGACAGTGACTTCACGGGCAGAACCAGTCATAATCCTTCGACGTGAGGAGAGGATCGGCTCTAGGTTTCTTTCCTTTCCTTCCTTTAATGAACGTTAAAACCCAAGGAACAAGCGAGGTGCCCTGCCAACTTCTAACCTGCACATGCTCAACAGTAGCTCCTTCATTGCACTGTTGTTAACACGCTTGGGAAGCAACACAGCTTTCTGTGCCTTTGGGAAGCTTTGTGCCTCGTGTTCAAATGACACGCAGCAGAAAGAGGATTTGCTTCATAGTTGAATTGCCACATCTGGGCGTTTGAGCACGGCTGGGGTGGGGGATCAGTGACATTCCTCCAGGAACCCTGCGCTGCTGGGAATTGTATATGGTTGACATCTGGGGGGGCTTCAGGTTTCCTCCTCTGGCAGGACAGGGGCATGTTTATGCCCCAGTCTGTGTGACCTTACTTACTAGCTCTTCTGTATCTTTCACTTGCAGGAGGCTGAACAGCACCCAAGGAGAAATCCGGGTTGGCCCCAGCCATCAGGTAAGATTGCCCTGTGTTGTGAGCATCAAACGGGGGCCTCACGTTGCTCTGCGTTTTTCACGAAAGCCGTTCCACAAACCGGCCCGGTCGTTCAGCAGACCTTTCTTTTGAACCTTTCCACCTCGGCAGGATTTGAAGAATTGGCCTTGCTAGGAGCCTCGTTATTCGTTTGTTTTATGCAGTTTGATGCCGCCTGACTCCGAACGATTCTGGGCAACTCGGAGTGCACCAGACAGTATAAAAAACAATTAAGGAGAAGCCACAAACAACAAAACCAACTGGAACAGAAGAGAAAGGAAAAGGAACAAGGTGGCTAATGTGACTGACGCCCCCAAACATCTCACCGGCTCCCATCCAGCAAGGACATCCAGGCCTTTAAGGCCCTCTGGAATGCCGGGGGGGAGCCACGTGGGTCTCGGGGGGACCTCATCCCAGCGGGCAGGTGCTGTGACAGAGAAGGCCCACTCCTGATGGGTGACATTGCTTAAATGGAGCAGCCTGGAGCCTGCCAGCCCTGTCCACTCCAATTGGCCAGGCAGACACCATGGGAAATAGGTGGTCCCTCAAATAACTGGGCCCTCTGCCTCGTAGGGCTTGAGAGTCACAGCCCGCTCCTTGAATCGCATCTGGAAGCAAACTGGGAGCCAGTGCAGCTTGCAAAACCTGGGTGTGACGTGGGCATACTGACGCATACCCCTCCCGCTTGCGCTGCTGCACTCTGGACCAGTTGAAGCTTCTGAGGGATCTAATAGTAACCATCATCACCGAGGACAAATTAAAGTAAAAACAAGTTTTAAAAGTGGGCTCCCCCGCCTCCCTCCAAATCACCAAGCTTATCATAGAATTGCTGAAGCCAGCAAGTTGTTCACTGCTGCCTGGTTCGGCTATGACCGCGTCGCCTCCATAGACCTACTTGCAAGACTTCTCTAAAACAAAACTGCTCAATGAGAGAAAGGCTTCCTGGGGCTCTCTATTTCGCTGGCTTGTCTACGGTGGTACCCGGAGTCTGTATTTGGGTCCCTGGCAGCATCGTACAGCGATTCCCATCCATCGCTGCGCCAGTGGGGAGTAACGGCCAACTCAAACCTTGCAGAGGGAACGTCCTGTAGAACAGCAACATTGCAAGGCACGGGGCTTTTTTCCCCCTTAGAAAGCAAATTGAGGAAGAGGAGGATACAAGCAGGGTGTGCAAAAGGCCTCTGGACTTGTGATTACTGATCCTGTGGGCCAGTATCAACTGCTGCTTTTCAGAGGTGCTTTGCCTTCGAAGTATGTTAAATACTTACTAGCTCAGGAAGCTGTTTATGTCACGTACCCATCACTGACGACATGATTAAGACTGCGAACTGAATCTTGCTTACGTTCTTTTGTGTCCAGTTCGTTTCTCCGCTCTAGAATTGTCTGTGGACCAGTGGAGGGGTTTGAGTTCCCAGGGCCAAGGTGTAACCAGTTTAGGGAGACAGAGGAGCAAAGAGATTCCTTTTCATAGAGGAAGGCCTAGCTTCTGGGCATCTGCATTTTGGCCGTAGATATTTTGAGAGATTATGATGAAGTTGAGACCTTTTTCCTGCTCTCTGCAAAGGGTCTCAGCATTTTATCCACCTTGGAAAGAATTGGTCTCTGCATTACTGGCTTTAAAAACGTTTAGCTAGGCCAGCTCACATTGGTGGCACATGAAATGCTTAGAAAGAACAGGGTGGGATGCAACCAAAAATATATATATCTTTTCTGTTTGTTCATGGATGCTCTGCTTGGTTGTGCAAAGGCAGTTCCGCTCCTTGCAGGCAAAGCAGCTTTTTTTTAATAACTCAGACCTTCTCGCTTGCTTTAAAAGTTCGCATCAAGCGTCAGCGTCTAGAGAACGTGACTAGAGGGTCTCTGGTTTCTGCCCTCTCTCTCCAGGCCAAACTCCCTGAGCTGCAGCCATTCCCTTCAGGAGATGGGGACGCGGTGACGCGTCACGAGGAGCTGGTCTGGATGCCTGGGGTGAACGACTGTGACCTGCTCATGTACCTGAGGGCGGCACGGTAAGACGAAGCTAATAGAGTGCAGGGACGTGCCCGCTTAGGACCTCATGCAAACACAGGCGTGGGGCCCCTCTGCTGTTGCTTGAAAAAGAAATGCCATCGCCTTAAGCGTCCATGCATGAATGCAACTCTAAAGCATCTGGGCACTTTTCTCAGGTCAGGGAGGAAGCGTGGAAAAAGCTGGGCTGCTTTTTCAGGCGGGGAGAGGTGCTGCGCGTGTCTATGTGAGGCCCAAAGCTTTATTTCTGATTCACTTCAGAAGTGTGCCCAGACCTAGTATCGTTGTTCTAGTGGCGAGCTGCTGGTGGCTCTCTTGGGAAGAGATTAGAATCCAGATTTCTGCTCGCAAAGACCTTTTTGAATCTATTTCTGGGAATAAATAGCCCCCCTTTAAGTCAGGGACTAGCCCTGTGAAAAATCAACCATCGGTATCGGGGCGGTTTGGCTCATTTGCTTTCACTCTGCTTGTTTAACCTCGAAGGTGTTTTCAACGCGCTGAAATTATATTTGTTTTTGAACCTGAAGGAGCATGGCGGCTTTTGCAGGAATGTGCGATGGCGGTTCAACAGAAGACGGGTGTGTGGCGGCTTCCCGGGATGACACCACACTCAACGCACTCAACACAGTAAGCCACCTTTGCCTTTCCGGAAATGATTTTCCAGCTATTGCAGCTGAGCACCTCTCCCCACACCCCAAGCTCCTTCGCAACTTCTCATTGGCCTTTCACTCTCGCAAGAGCACTTTTAGCTTTTCCAAAACCACAAGCCCCATTTGGCCGTCCCAGCATCATACTGGGAGATCTGTTCTCCCTCCGCTCCATCTTGGCAGCCCTCCCTGGCTGTGGCTTTCCGGTCCAGAGGAGGACAATCTTGTCCAGGTTGAAGACCACAATTGGCCCTTCTTGAGTCCAGTCCCATGGCCTCAACGCCATAGGTAGGCAGAGCCAAGGCAGATAAATGGGTGGAGACAAGAAGCAACTGACTTCATGGGGATGAAGTTAGATTTAAGTTAATGGAATGCATTCCATAGGATTTCCCCTTAAGTACTGGCCAGTTTTTCCCTTAAGTCAGGCTGAAAATTGCAAAGCAGTGGCAACCTTTGTAGAAGCTCTAGGGGCCACATCCAAGGTTTTGAGGACCACGCGGGGCCCTGGGCCACCCTTGTTGTCGGCAACAAGCAGGGGCCTCTCTCAGGCCTGCGTCCAGAGATCCATTTAGAAACACAGAAGGAAAAGGGGGCCTTGGACTAGCAGTCAACAGCAATGAGGTTTTAGTGAAATGTTTTAGGCAGAAGGCAAAACCTGGCTCCTAGTTTTCTGCATTTTTACCCTGGTCGTTCCCTCCCTCCAGTAGCCCAGCTGGAATCAGCTTCTCAGAGTCCTTGACTCCGCTTCATGGCTTCCCCTCCAGTTTCTCTGGGAAGGCCTCTAATCAGGCAAGAGCGGTGGGCATTCAGATGTTCTCCTCCGACTTGTCAGAAGCCCAACCCTGATGGAAATCATTGGCATTGCAGCCCAGCCTCGTTTTTTAATTGCCTTCCTAAATCTTCTCGCAGACCGACTCAGCACAGGAATTTTGAAACTCTGGGCCTGGGGAGAAAGGGGGCAGTGTCACTTGGCACGGGCTTTTCTCTTTATGGCTTCGTTGTGCATTTCTAGCCTTATGAACTGGGTTATAGCCTTTGGCATTCTGGATGTGGAAGAGAGAAGGGAGCAAGCAGCCACGTACGTTACTTCTGCATGGCCGGGAGCAAATTAATAATTGGCTTGGAAGTTCCCGGTGGTTTAGGGTTAGAGGGTGATCCCTCCAGGTACCCCTGCAGTGAGACCAAAGGCAGTCTCTTTCTGGTGGCTCTCTCTTGAGAGAGCACTTGCCTTGGGCCTCTTCTGCCCTCTCTGGAATGGACAGAGGAGAGGCCTCTTCTGCCCAAATCGCATCTTTCCTTTTCTGCTGAATGTTCACGCAGTGGACGGAGGAGAGGCCGAGAAGGGGCCAGCGAAACTTAGAAACAGGAGTAACAGTAGTCATTCCTACTGTGTGACTCGGGCTGAGCTGGGGTAGGCCTGATCAGAGAATTAGAGTCAATCCGTCCATCTCGAAAGAACGGGTGGCAAGCCAGGGCAGCATCTTAGAGGTGGTTTTTGAAGCTGCTCATTCCGTGTCAGTTCTGCTTTTGATCACTTTCAGCTTCACGCATCTCAATTGGATGACAGCCTTTCGAGGTAGGCCTGGTCAGCAGACCCTGCAGGGATTCCAGGAATGCTAGTTTATGGTTGGAGAGTCTGAAGAGAACCTTGAAAGCCTGTCCAAGATCTTCACAGTCCCTTTTGAGGACAAAACAGTCAAGATGAGGCTGTTCCAAGCCTCTTTCTTGCAGGTCCTACTTTCTCGGGGTTGAGTGGCTGTTTCCCCCTCCCTCCGCCATCTCAAGGCCAGACATAAATTCCTCTGCGCTACGGTGCCAGGTTCTTTTGTTGTCACTGATTGGACATGAACCCAGAAAAAAAACACAGAACAAACCAGGAAGGAGTGCACGACACACTTCATGGATGTCGCTCGGGGGGGGGGGGGGGGGGTCAGATGCTCAGAAAAAAAAGCTTGTTTTCATTATGCCAAAAATATCTTTCTTTTCTGAGTAGTTTCGCTTTGCTAGATTCAGCAGTTCTGCACAAGCCAGACCAGCTCGCAGATCCGCCTCGAGGTTGGGGGCAGAGAAGGAAAGCCTTCCGTGTGCAAAAGCCTGCCTGCGCTGGGGTCAGCTCTGTGGCTCTGAGCGCGCCATGCTAGTCCATCCGTGCAGCAGAGGGCAGGAGGAGAAAGAAGTCTTTAGCAAGGGGTTAAAAATGGCAAGCGGGAGTAAAGGAGCAGGCCCAGAATTGGGGTCAGCGTTTGCTGCAGTTCCCTTTCTCCTCGGAGACGGGTTGGTGTCCCTCGGCCTCTCTCAGCCTGCGGGTGACAGGTGGCTAGTAGCTGGGGTGCCATCCAGATGCCTGTCTAAAAACCGCAGGAATTTTTGACTCCTCAGTATGACAGTACTAAGTGTGGGTGTATGTTTTCCCAGTGTGAAGGAACGGATATCTTTACTGTGGCTAACGGATTGGCGGACATCTCTTAACGCCTGTACATTTTGTCTCCTGACAAAGGAGTTTCCATTCTCCTTTTCCTCCCTCTATCAGGTGGTCTTTTCTGAAACCACTGCAACGACGCTAAAAGATGGTGAGAGGCGGCACGAAGCAAGGGGTTTTGCTCCTATGCAGTCTATTGCCCTGGATAAGAATTGAGGCTTTTTTTTAAGGGAAAAAAAAGGAAATATTTAGAGGGCCAAGTTGCCTAAAATGACCTCTGTAAGGCTGTTCCCCAATCAGGGAGAAGTGATCCACTCTCCGTTACCTGCTCTGGTTTGCTTGGAGCCCAGATTCAGCATGTAAAACGTTGACTTTTCAGCACTAGGAGATCTGTCCCGTCTTGTTTCTGATGCGTGGGTGGGACTCGGTTCTGGCTTTGGTTGCGCTGAGGGGCGTGTGAGTGTTTAGAAATGATAATATGGTAAAAAATTGATATGCTCTATGATTTCTTATTATGGAAATACAATAAACTTCAGAGCAGCACTTCACATAAATCAGTCCTGACAAAGTTCTTTGCCAGTGTTTTATTTATGTAATAACAGGGTGCTGTAACCCTCAGCATGATTTATTGTTAATTACACCCAAAAGGAATGGAGAGAACAGGGGAACTTTTTTTTGCTGCACAGCATTTATATGAGCTGGTGGAACACTTCCTTCCAGCGTCTAACTGCTTAACGGCATGGCTACATTTTCCCTCCCTCCTGTCCCTCCTTTCATTTCAAGTGGTATTTCTAATGCTTTTTCTTCAGCACATCTAGTGGGATGGAAGGAGATCATTTGCAGAAATGGTTAGGAACGAGGCATGATGCTGGCTTACCCTTTTAGTCTGTTAACTGGAAATTCTTGAGGGTGTGGTCAACCCAGTCTAGAGTTGGGAAAAGACTGTCTGGGTAGGTAGATCAGATATAGACTGGCAGTCAGACAGACATTTTCATCAGCCTGATCTGAATGAGATTTAGCCTCAAAGAGCTGCCTGGATCTGTATGTTCCTACAGCACCCCCTTCAGGTCAAAGAGAGGTATGGCCTGTATCCACCTTTTTAATTTACAAGGCTGGTGATTGGCCAAGGTGATCTTCAGCTGCTACCTTTCAGGCCTCACTTGGATCAGCAAGAGGTGACTCTTGGGGACGGGTGAGCCCCTTCAGAATGTAGGAGCTTATTGGCGGTGGAGGGTCTTCCCTGTCCACCAAAGAGGGCACATGGCCGGGCACGGGTCCTCTCTTGCAACCGCTCACTGTTTTCATTTTCAAAGAACACCCTCGGGGCCCATGTTGAGCCACAGGCCTTCCTGAGAACAGACATGATGCCAGAGGCTCTGCTTGCAGCACACCAACCTCCTCTTTCATTTCCTTTTATATAAGATTATTAAAATTAGCGTAGGACAGGAAGCCTGGTAAGCTTCAGAAACACTGGCGTAGCTGACTTCCGGGTCTCTGGGTTGGATCCTCTGCTTGCGACCATCTTCCCCCGGACCCTTCCCTTCTGGAGGGTCCTATCAGCCTTTCCCCAGTTGAGGATATTCTCACTCCTCATCAGTTCTCCATTCAGGTGGACAGCTGAAGTCGGAGCCCTTCTGGATTTGGAGTAGGGACGCTTGTACGCAAAGTGTCTGCTTATAGCTCCCCTCAAAGAGCATCAAAGGCCGGAAGACGCAGGCCCTGCTCGCCTTTAAGAGCGCATAGAAGTGCAGATTGGCGATAACGCCTCGCAACACACGGACACAGTGATTTCTTTTTTTCTTTTCAACTCTCTTTTTCATGCTTGATAGGGAGGGAAAAAAAAAAAGAAAGCTGAAAGAATTCCCTTCTTCCTCTCATCAGAGGCCGAAACAGCCTTGGCCTTTAATATCTTGCAGCCTTGTAAATCCGTTTCTTAATTAAAATTCACAGGCGCTAAGCTCACGTTTTATAGCCGCGTCTCTGTGTAATTTTACTTTAGAATTTGCACTCGCATTCAGGCTTCTGATGTCCTCTCTTCCCTTGATGGTGTTAGGATTTGAAACACACCCCACTTTAGTCTCAAAGAACCCTAAGGGTGAAGCTGAGTGTCTTGCTCGGAATTAGAGGGGGGGGAAATCCTCTTTTTTATTACTGAGGTGCAGCCTATGGGAGGGCTGTGCTAAATTCCCCCTGCCTGTAGCTTCGTGTGGCGCATAAGAATGCCACCCGGGTTCCTTTGCTAGCCCATCACCAAGTACCAGCCGACTTACAGGAAGGGAGAAGAAAATGTCTGACGGGGAACAGGCTGGTGCCAGGCCACATTTCTCTGAGCATCGCCTGTTCCTGTTCCTGTTCCTGACAACTGAGGTGGAGCCAGGCCAGGGACTTTAGGAACGCCAGGAACTTCTTTACATAGTACCTAACTCACCTCCTCCTGGCATCTCTAAGCATCAAGATGCCGCAGAAGCATCGTAGCCCTCAAGGGGGTTCTTGGGGAACCAATGCCGGATTTGGATTTCAAAATCTTGAGTTGCTTTTAGAAAAGCGTTGCGTGCCGCTTTTTGACCAAGGTGGGGTGGCAACTCATCTGCGTGTTGCCAAGTCTTGCATAGTGAGTCGAGCCCAAGCACGGCCTTACAGAGGTGGCGGAAGCTCGAACCCCACGTGCCTCGAGAGCCCTTCGGGTTGCTTCTTTGTGGGGAGGCAGCCCAGCTGCGAAGGAGCGCAACATTTCGTTCCCCTCCCCAAACCCGCAGATGACCTTCTGAGATCTCGCAAGGTTCTTAATAGACTCCCATTATTTAATACGGTCCCCGAAATCGAGTCCCAGACGCTTTCAGGCGAGGCTCGTAATGGCGGTAATTGGAGGAGAGTGCCGTTCCAAAGCCGGCGCCCCCAGATGCAATGCCGTTCCAATGCGGAAAGGTCACCGGGAAAAAGGGGGCCTCTAAATGAAGTTATAAATTACGAGCAGGGAACAATATTTTGATGCGCGAGACCTGGGGATGTCAGGAGTGGTGGGATGTAATTCACGGATACATTACCGAACAGAGGTGGCTGACAGCTGAGCCGTGCCAGGAGGAGGATGGATTGGCTGTGCGGAAGGCGGCTCTGTTGCAATGCGGGCGCCCAGACGCGCGGCTGCTTCCGCCCCCACCTTCACCTTGCCCGGCACGCTATGCTAATCAGCCACGCAAGGGTGCAGCGCTCTTTAAGGCCTCTTGCGAGATAAATGAGGGTCGGCAAGGCGCAGACGGATTGGAGCTTAGTTCTTCTTCCCCGAGCTTGAATGGTGGGGGGGGGGTGCTGCGAGAAGAAAGCATTACCATTTAAAACATGTGTATTGAAAGCCCTCCCTCCCCTCCCTCCAGTCACAGGGAGATTAAACCAGGGCACTGATGCTTAATTGCCTGCATGGAGACTTCAGGAAAATCAAAATATATGGCGCAGTCTTGAGAATTTCAAAATATTGATTTCACCTTCCCTCCTCCCCGCTTTTAAGCATCCATCTCTAAGGCTCCCTGGTTGGGGGAGGGATAGCTGGGGAAGCAACAACGCGAACGCCTCCTGTCTTTATTTTCCTTCGGCCAACTTCCGCCCGGGTTCAGAACCGTGTACATAATCAGCGCATCTCTAAAAAGGCTGTCGGCCGAGTCGTCTCTCTTCCTCGTGCACTTCCCCGCTTCTGAGCGAACGTCTTTGGAGTCCGCTGATTAACGAAGCGCCTTGATGAACGATTAGGTGAATGGTTGGTTAGTTTTCATTTCAGCCCATGGTGGCAACTCAACCCATTTGGTTAGTTTTACGGCCCCGCATGTCACGCTCAGGAAATGGGATAATTCATGAACCGGATGGAGGGGGCTGGAATGGGGTTATGGGTAGGTCTGCTGAGTCATGGGAATGACAGGGGTCATCGGTTCTCAGGCTGAGGTTGCTGGAGGAACCTGGAAACGTTCCTTGTCTCAAAAACGGAGACCCGTCTTGGGTCTGAACTGCTGACGTTTCCGCTCTGGCTCTGGAAGCCTCTTGGAGAAGGCTTCGGAAGACGGGGGGAGAGGCTCTCTCAGGTCGTTGCAACTGATCCAACTTTCTTTCTCTCCCGCAGCTACACGAAAGCAACTATGATGCCGGGAAAGCCCTCCAGCGCCTGGTGAGGAAGCCCGTCCCCAAACTCATCGAGAAGTGCTGGACGGAAGACGAAGTGGTGAGAAGGCTCGCTTTTCGGCCCGGCTCTTGTTTGGCTCTTGTTTGGCTCGGCTCGGCCTCTCGTCGCCCTTGCGCAGATTGTTCCCTTCGGAAGCTGGCGGGAGGCAGGGTTTCCCCGCTCAGCCTGACCCCCCGGCCGCCGGGTCCCCACCCTGGCCGCCTGCACCAAACTCAAGAGAAGGCATTGCTCTGCTACGCCCGAGCTCCCTTTTCAGCAGAGGAGCTGTGGAGGCCCCTCCTAGTGGTCTTGCTCCACTTACCCCTGGGTTGCCCACTCCAGCTTCCCACCCGAAGGGTCAGCAGAGCGCCCAAAGACAAGCCGGGAAGGGCTCCTCTGCGCCTTTCCTGCGTTACCTGAGTTCGGCACCGTCGGCGGGTTGGGACTCTGAGCCGAGCCTTTGCCTGACACACCCTGGCAGGACTCTGAGGTCCAAAGAATGAGGCGGAGGGCTGGAGCAGGGGGTGTAAGAGCCAGGGAGAAGGAGATGAGGGGAGCAGGGAAGAGAAAGTCTTTTTTTCCCCCCTGGAAAGGAAGGGAAACGCCAGGGGCCGGATGGCTTTAAGAGGAAGGAAGGGCATTGAGAGTCCTGCTCCTGCTCCAACTGTTGCAAGATTGACGTGCCCATCCCTGGTAAGATCCAGGGGCTTACCTGAGAAGGTATAGAAAGGGACTAGGCGCAGACCTGCCCCCTTTGGATCTTGCCAGAGAGAAAGAGAGAGGAGAGGTTGGCTAAATCCGATAGACTCTGAGCAACACTTCCGATCCAGGTGTCACTGCGCCCTGGGATGCTTGGGGGGAGACAGGAGGCCAGCCGGAGCCCAGGCGGGAGCCGCTCAGAGCGGGCCTCTTTTAAAGGCAGGCATCAGGGTCTTGTAGCACCTCCCGGCTGCTTGAGTGAGCTGTGCTGCCGTTCCCCCTGTCCCATCGCTGCTTCGGTCCCTTTCCCCAGGATCAGAGAAACCAGCGGGAAGCAATGAGCCTTGTCTCCGACTTGGGTCTCCGAGGCTGGGTGTGCTTTGCTGGCCCCTTCGCATTCAAATGGCCCCCGTGGCCCCCATCCCTCCCCGCCGCCTTCTCATCAGCTGGGAATTTGCCCCGTGCCAGAATCTCCCATCCCCGTCTGAAGCCTCTTTCCTGCCCCCTCCCCTGCTGCTTTTTTATACCAAAAGCTTCAGCGATATTTCAGTGCGGGGCTTTGATCAACAGTCGGCGTTAAAAGACAGAGAAAGGCGCTCTCGCCTACCACAAAGGAAGAAAAGCTCGATGTTAATGAAAAGCTGAGCGATGCTCCTAAAGAGTTGGCGCTGCGGGCGCAAGGAACAGCCGTCATTAGCTCTATACGCCGCTGTCAGTTTTGGCTCATCTGTTCGTTTCTCCCCCCTTGGTACCCCAGCCCAGACTTTCGAGCCAGGCTCAGGAGGCCTCCAGTTGGGGAGCCCCCCCCCCAAAATTATCTTCCTCTTGTGGCCTCTGATTGATCCCCTTCCTCAGGTACACTAAGATTTTCTCGCCACTCAAGCAGCTAAACATGACTGATAGAGAACCAAAGTCCCTTTGGTGCCCAGATTTTGCCAAATCTTGCTTCTGGTCTTTCGGGTGAGCAAAAAGGCAGGATGTAACTTGGAACCATAACAACCACCACCGTAATAGAAAGTGGGACACCCACCCATTGCCGCATTTCAGTGCAGACAGGAGTAAACCAAAACCATCAAACCATAAATTCAGAGATGCTTTTATCTGAGGAGCGCATGGGCTGGAAATTGGCAAAGCTGTTTCCTATTGTTTCAGGCAGAAGGTGCACAAAATTAGGCTTAGCTTAATCTTTAAAAAAAAAAAAATTCCCCAAGCCTGCGGAAAAAAGCTGGAATTTGGGCTTGCCTGTTGGTGCAAGAAAGCCGTACCCTGTTTGGGATCGGTCCTTTGCTCGTTTTCGGCCTTACTGTTCCTTTCCTTCCCATGTAAAATGGAGCCCCCGTCGCTTCTCTGCCTTTTGGTTAAGATCAAGTCGGCGTGTGAAAGGTTGCCTGTGTGCCCACTGTCTGTAATGAAAGGTCTGCAAGGAAACAACCAAGCTCAGAGAGCCCCAAGGCCTCGGTAAGAGTATCTTTAGCTCGTCTTCGGCCCTTCCTTGAAATCTAACCCTTAATTGAGCTGGCGCAATGCCCTGGTTTGAAAGGTCTTGGTTTCAGCTGGCGATCTGGAGGCAAAATGCCTCCTCCTCCCAGCCTCACCCGCCTCCATCCAAAGAACGAAGCCCCCCAAATGGGGGCTCATCTGCCCTTCGCCAACCGGGCATTTGGGCGCATGTGGAAAGACAGCAGGGGTCGTCTTTCTTTTTTCGGCCGGGCGGGGTGGATCCGCTCCTTGCAAGATGAATAACGCTGCGCGGTGTGGCTGTTCCAGCAATGCACTGCGCCTCGCTTCCAAAGCCGTGTTTCTGCTTTTTTTTCTTTTAACTGAGACGGCCTGGGCTCTTGGCCGTCGGCTGCGATCTCCCCGTCTTCGAAGGCGAGAGAGCTGAAAAGGCCGCGTTTGTTCTCTCTCTGAGCCATTTATTCCATAAACAAAGGGGACCGATCCCACAGTCCTTTGTAGTTTCTTAGCAACATGGCTAAGTTTGTTTTAGCTGGCTGGGTGCACAAGGCAGGCACATTTTGTTCCTTCTGTGTATGGAAACACTGGAAGCGCCACTTCCAAACACGGAACTTAAACAAACCTGCAGCCCAGATAGCAGGAAGCGGGAGAAAGAGCGATCTTTACTCCCCAGGCGGGTTTTAATAGCTCCCGTTCTGGGTCTTTCTCCTTGTGAGATCCCTGCTGTCCGGAAATCTGAGCCGCAAGCGGGCAAAGATGCCTCTGGATTTGTTTAATCCCCCCCCCCTTCGTTGATGCAGCCGCCGGGGGGAGGGTTTTTTTCTTCCGAAGGGAGAAAACCCAACAGGCGCGGGCGGGGCCCCGGGGCCTTCCCGGCAAGGAGGGGGGCGCGGAGAGCGCTGGAGGAGACGTTCTCAACATGCAGGGCTGAGAGATGAGCAACGGCACGACTAACGTCAGGGGGGTGTGGGAACGGCAGGGGGGCCGCC